AACTTCCGGATCCACTACTAACTAGCCTGGGGCCGGGCGCGGAGGCTCACGCCTGTAATCCCAGCTCTCTGGGAGGCCGAGGAGGGAGGATCGTGCTCGAGGTCAGGAGTTCAAAACCAGCCTGAGCAAGAGCGAGACCCCGTCTCTACTATAAATAGAAAGAAATTAATTGGCCAACTAATATATAGAGAAAAAACGAGCCGGGCGTGGTGGCTCACGCCTGTCGTCCCAGCTACTCGGGAGGGAGGCCGAGGCAGGAGGCTCGCTTGAGGCCAGGAATCGGAGGCTGCTGTGAGCGAGGCTGACCCCACGGCGCTCACTCCAGCCCGGGCGACAGAGCGGGACTCTTGTCTCAAAAACAAACAAACAAACAAAAAAAAAACTAACTAACCTGGAAAAGCAGGTGAGTTTCTTTACCAGCTTGCCCCGGTCTTCTCACCTCCCACCTAGGAACGATAATGGTCCCTTATTGTAAGATCATTACGATATTCCAGCCAAATAATTTACGGATTGCACATGGCTCGCTGCCCGATATCCTAGTGCTCAGTTTATTTTATTTATTTTATTTTAGTTAGTTAGTTTTTGAGACCGAGTCTCACCCTGTCTCCCTGGCAAGATAATATTTCTTTAATTAAAATAATAATAATAATAATAACAGATTCAGGAATCCGTGTGTCTAGTTAAAATGAAAAAGGTAAGAAAAGAAAAAGCCAGACAATATTTCTTTAATTAAAAAAATAATAATAAATCAATCAATCAATAAAATAATAATAATAGTAACGACACCAGGAGAGCCGCCCGCAGAGCCCCCTAACACTGCGCCGGCCGGCCCGCAGGTGCGAGCGGCTGGAGGAGCAGCTCAACGACCTCACGGAGCTGCACCAGAACGAGATCCTCAACCTGAAGCAGGAGCTGGCCAGCATGGAGGAGAAGATCGCCTACCAGTCCTACGAGCGAGCCCGCGACATCCAGGTGAGCCCCCCTTGGGGTGAGCCAGAGAGCCCAGCGCGGCCGTGAGGCTGGGGCCCAGCTACTCGGGAGGGAGGCCGAGGAGGGAGGATCGCTCCAGGTCAGGGGTTCGAGGCCAGCCTGAGCAAGAGCGAGACCCCGTCTCTACTGAAAATAGAAAGAAATGAGCTGGACGACTAAAAAAATATATATATATAGAAAGAAAACGAGCCGGGCGTGGTGGCGCATGCCTGTGGTCCCAGCTACTCGGGAGGGAGGCCGAGGCAGGAGGATCGCTGGAGGCCAGGAGTTGGAGGCCAGCCTGAGCAAGAGCGAGAGCCCGTCTCTACTAAAAAAAAAATAGAAGTTAATTGGCCAAGTAAAAAAAAATATATATATAGAAAATACGAGCCGGGCACGGTGGCTCGCGCCTGTCGTCCCAGCACTCTGGGAGGAGGCCGAGGCGGGAGGATGGCTCGAGGTCAGGAGTTGGAGGCCAGCCTGAGCAAGAGC